ACCAGAATGACTTTCTCTCCTCTCCACCTTCTGTGCGCTGCCTGTCCTCAGGGAGCTGAGTAGCCCTGGGCGGATGACTGAATCTCCTTCAGTTCCCTCCCCAGGAAGTCCAGTGGACGCCTTATCACCTCCCTCAGTAGGTCATGGCCATGTGAGCCCAATGCCAGAATTGGCTTAGGCAAAACCTGGTGTTCCCCTGGGAATTTACTGATGTCAGCCAGGTGTGGTGGCCATACCTCTAATCCGAGCCCACTGTAGGTGAGGATGGAGAGTCACTGGGAATTCAAGGCTGATCTGGGCTACATAGTTAGTTTAAGGCTAACACAAGTTAGTTTTCTGATATCTTGCTCTGAGAATTTGCAGTGAGACTGACCATGAAATCTCACTACAGTTCCCAAGTGCATGCTGCGGTCCTCACCTCCCCTTCATTATAATCTCTCACAGATACAACTGATAAAGATTATGTTTTTGACAAACTTCCAAGTCTACAGGAATGCAATCCCTTTTCTGCCTTCCTCCCAGGTCACAGCCACTGCATGCAGCACTAAAAGATGTCTACTGAGCAATGTTGAAATCCATGTAGCAAAGTCACTGAGCACTTTAAAGTTAGGATGGAGAATGCTAAGATGTAGATTCTCACATATTCTTGTCCCATAAGAGAAATTTGCCACTTAAAATTTGATATCATTTGGGCATAAAATAAATCCACCTTTTGTTATGTTTTTGTTTGATTGTTTTTGTCTTTTAGTGACAGGTTCTCAGTAGGTAGTTCAGGCTGAGCTGGATTTCACTTTGTAGCTCAGGCCTGCCTTGGAAATCACAATGATCCTCCTCCCTCAGCATCCACAGCGCTGGGATTAGAAGCAGGCACCACCACATCTGGCCATTTTGTTTTGTTTCTGTGAGACATCGTCTCAATATATAATTCACTCTGGCACTGAACTCACTATGTAGACTTGGCTAGCCTCAAACTCATAGTGATCTTCCTGCCTCTGTCTACTGAGTAATGTGTGTATAGGAATGCACCACCACATCCAACTGACACACTTTAAAAAATATTGCAGCGAATGTTTGTACCCAGTGTGGTGGTGCATGCCTGTAATCCCAGCCGTCGGGAGGCTGGGTTGGGAGGATCGTTTGGAGGTAGAGACCAGCCTGGGCTACACACTGATCTCAAGGCCAGCCTGAGCTGCCTACTGAGACCCTGTCTCAAAAACAAATAAATTGCAGAGAATGTTTTTTAGCTTTTTGGGAAAAGGAACATCTAATTTATCCATTCATATGATCACAAAGTTGATGCTAATATTAAGGACCAGAAGGAAAAGAATTTAAAAATGCATAAACAGGAGCGGTGGTGCATGGACTTTGATCCACC